GCTGGGCTCCTGGCTGCTCAGCCTATGTGAATGCTTTGCTCAGGCTTGCGTGCAGAGCCCCGGGCGTGCCCCTGAGTGAGTAGCAACGCCAATTGGGCTCCATGCATGTGCCACATTCCGGTTTGGGGCTGCCAGGGCGTGAGAAAGGGCGACAAGAAAGCAACGCCCATGAGAACTCGCCAGAGGAGGGCTTCTCGGCTCCTTGCTGTAGACAGTATCAAGTTGCAGCAGCACAGAGGCACTTTGAGAGCCCTGCCGGCGTAAAGGCAGCGTGATCGTTCCGATTGGCGTCGGCCCCGCTCAACAGGCCTGCCCAACACAGAACAACGTGCTAATGGCGGATCAGCCGCCCCATGCGCAGCCGGATGAGGACCTGGAGCTTGCGCTGCGGCTGCACCGAGAGCTGAACGCCGTGCCCAGGCGGCAGCGCCAGCCCGCGCGCACCCAGGCGGCCTCCGCGGCCCTGAAGACGCTGTCCAAGAAGCAGCAGCCGCGGGAGAGCGAGAGCAGCTCGTCGGAGAGCGAGGGCGGCAGCGCCCAGAAGAAGCGGCCGGGCGGCGGCGGACCGCCCAGCGGTGCGCTGGGGGGATTGGGCAAAGGGCTGGCCGCTGCTTGCCTGCCTGTAGGCTGCACCGCGCTGATCTGCTTGCACGCTGCAGCTTCTGGTGCAGCAGCCAGAAGCCTGCACATGCCAGCAACCGTCAGCCCCCCCGCCGCCGAGCCCGCCCTTTCCCGCCCTTTCCAAACCCTCCCCGCCTGGCGCATGCCGCGCAGACAACGACTCTGGCAGCAAGCGCAAGCGGCAGCGGGATGGCCAGCCCGCGCACAAGGCGGCGCAGCGGCGCGCGGGCCGCCGCCCGCAGCACGCCACCGCCGCCGACGAGGCGCGCGCCAGGGCGGCCGCCGCGGCGGCGGTCGCCGGGCAGCCGCGCACCCACGTCAAGTGCTTCTACGCCGGCCTGCAGCATGGCGTGTGGCTGGCTGTGGAGGCGCTGGCCAGCCGGGCCAGCCTGGCGGCGGCGGTCAGCCACGCGTTCCGAGATGACGGGGTGGCGTGCACCAGCGAGACCGCCACGGTGGTGTTTGTCACCGCCGACAAGCAGGCGCTGGAGTTTGCGGGCGGCCAGCAGCAGCAGCAGCAGCAGCAGCAGCAGCAGCAGCAGCAGCAGCAGCTGCAGCCGAAGGAGGAGGAGGGCGCGGAGGCGCAGCCGGGGCCGCAGGCAAACGGCGAGGCGCGCGGCGGAGGGGGCGAGGGGAAGCAGTGGGAGGCCGCCGCCCGCTCCGCGGTGCGAGTGTATGTGCGGTAGCTGCGCTGCACATACTTTTCCTGTCTCCTCTGTGCTCGGCCTGGCCTGCGCCGTGGCCAGGCTGCATCCCCCGCCAACCGCGCCTCATTCCGCTGCTAAACAGCCCCCGCCCAGCCCCCGCCAGAGCCACCCCCGCATATCGCTCTTCGAAGCCATCCCGCAGCATCGGCAGCCTTCCTGCCCTGCCCTCGCAGCCGCATTCCCTAGCGGGTGCTGCACGCTATCCACCACGCTGGCAGCTGCCATGTGCAGTGCAGCAGCAGCCACCGCCGCCGCAAGCCCCGCTCGTCTCCTCCACCCTTGCCCGCCCTGTTCCACGCACTGCCAACACTCCCCATTTTTTCAGCACTTCAACCAGGACCACACATGACCGACAGACGCCCCTCCTTCTTTGCTTGACCCTCGTGCTCAAACTACCTCCGCTCAACCACCTCCCGGCTTCTGTTGTGCATCTTTCTTGCGTCCTTCCTATCTTTACAACGTCATGAGGCCATCAAAATAACACTGTGCGTACACAATCAAATGTGAACTGTTTGAGAGAAGCTAGCTATGATCTATCAATCGAGGGGGGCTGAAGAAGAGGGGTGGAACCGGCTCCGGCTCAGAGCATCGACCGCGGCTGGGGCAGCAGCAGGATCTTGCCAATCACCTGCGCGGGAGGCACGCGGGCAGCGGCACAGCAGCAGCATGTGCAGGTGGTGTGCCAGCTCGATTGCTGCCCACCAAGTGCCTGCCTGCCTGCCTGCCCTTTGGACACCTGAGCGCGGCCGACACGCACGCTGCACACACTCTCCGACCTCGCCTGCACCAGCAAAGCCCCAGCCCGCACCTGGCGGTTGAGCATGATGGAGAAGGCCTCTGGCGCCTGCTCCAAGGAGAAGCGGTGGCTGACCGACACCGCCACCTCGCCGCTGCCAAACAGGCGCGCCACCTCCTCCAGGCTCTTCCTGCGGGGCGGGAGGCGAGGAGGCAGGGAGGTGGTGAGGAGGCAGGCATTAGGAGAGAGAAGCATGGAGGGTGAGAGCGGGTCGGGTCTGGGGGGAGGTGACGTGAGGAGGCCCACGGATGGGGCGAACGCAGGAAGCAGCTGCACCCGCCACCCTCCCCACCCTGTGTGGGAACTCCCCACCTCGCCCCGGCGCCCCCACCTGAACACGCGCGGGTTGTGCTGCTGGTAGCTGCCCCAGTAGATGCCGTGTACCGCTAGGTTCTTCACCAGCAGGATGTTGGCGGGCAGCTTGGGGATGGAGCCTGCGCGCGGCGCGCCCAAACACAGCAGGCGCAGAGTCGGCAGCATGATTCTACTGTTGCTGCTGTAGGGCGCACAGCAAGCTCAGGGGAGCAGCAAGGGGAATGTCAAGGGATCGGGGCCAACCGACTGCTCCCGTCCAGCCAAGCCACAGCCCTGCACCCGCACCTGAGGCGAAGCCGATGATCAGGATTCGGGCCCCCCAGCGCACACACTTGAGCGACTCGCTCAGCAGCGCGCCGCCCACGGGGTCAAACACAACATCCACGCCTGCAGGGGGTGGCGCAGCATGGCATGGCAGGGCACAATGAGCGGCGGCAGCAGCAGCAGCAGCGGTATCTGCAGGCGCGGCACGGGCGCCGCAACCCAGGCGGCCCGTGGCCAGGCCCACCTTGCGGCGCGCTGTGGCGCAGCAGCCCCTTGAGCTGCTCCGGCTTGTGGTGCTGCATGTCAATCACCTCGTCCACCCCCGCCTGCACGCAGCCAGACCATGTCCCATGCTCTGCCACCCTTACCAGTTGCCCCCAGGCCTTCAGGCTGCCCTCTGCATGCCACACACAACGTCGCATCCAGCCAGGTTGCACCCTCCAGCCAGCCAGTCAGTTCAGGCTGGCCGTGCCCACCTCCCTCAGTGCCTGCATCTTGTTGAAGCCCCGCGCCACCGCAATCACCCGCGCCCCCATGCACTTGGCCAGCTGCACCGCCGCCAGCCCCACGCCGCCCGCCGCGCCCAGCACCAGGATCGTCTGGCCTGCGGCAGCCGTCGGGCAGGCAAGGCCAGGCTCGTCAAGCGCTCGCGGACACCCCCCCAAACGTGCCGGCGCTGGATGGACAAGCTGTGCAAGGCCATCAGCTGCTGGCAGAATGGCCAAACGATACTGGGCCCCATCCTGGCTGCTGCCCTTGCCCTGCCCTCTTCTTCCCTCTCCGTCACTGCCCTCCCCGCAGCCCCGCCCCGCTTGCCTGGCCGCAGGTCTGCGCGGTCCCGCAGCGCCAGGTAGGCGGTACCGTACGCCACCGGCAGCCCTGCCGCAGCTTCCACGTCGCAGTTGGGCGGCAGCTTCACCACCAGGTTCTCCCTGGCTACCGCCTCCTCCCCAAACGCCCCGCCCTGCGTCACCGCGCACACCTGCAAGGAGAGGCGGGAGCAGGCAGAAGCACCGGGTGAACAGGGAGCAGGGGGAGCCGTTGCGGTCAGCATGCTGCTTGTTTGAGCAGGCGGGCAGTTGGTCTGGTGTGTGTGCATCGAGACGCTGGTGGCGGCTGCGTGTGTGTGCGCGCATGCGCCGAGTGTCAGGTGGGAGAGCGTTTGTGGCGGTGGCAGCGGGCTGGGGTGGGTGTGCCTCTGTGTGCCGCCTCCCCACCTTGTCCCCCACTTTCAGCGTGCGCACATCCCTGCCGACCTCCACCACCGTGCCGCTGCACTCGCTGCCCGGCACAAAGGGCAGCTTGGGCTTCTCCTGGTACTGCCCCTGCGGGCAGGAGGCGGTACGGCAGGTGAGGAGCACACCGTTGCAAGCACTCGATGCATCAAACGGTGGCCATGAGAGCGCAGCATAGGTGCCCCTCCACAATGGGTCCCCAGCAACTGCATGAGGGTGCCAAAGCGGTCGCCCCCAGCTTGCCTGCAGCTGCAGGGCGTCTGCAAAGTTGAGGGCTGCGGCGGCGACCCGGATGCGGACCGAGTTGGGGTGGGTGAGCGGCGGCGCGGGCAGGCGGGCCACCCGCAGCGCGCTGTGCGGCCTCCCCAGCTGCTCCTGAGGGTCGCCCAGCCGCTCGCACAGCAGCGCCTTATAGGTGCGGCCCTCCTCCTGCAGAAGGCCGCGACAAGGCGGAGAGGAGGGTTGTCGGCGGCAAACCGCAGCTGCTGCCAGGCATTGGGGTGCCGCCCCCATGGCTGTAACGGGCGCATTGCGTCCCTCAGCCCGCGCTCCAGGTTTCCTGTGCATCCAGGCCGGCAAACCGCTGCCAAAGACACACGATTCACCTCCGACATGAGTCGAGTGCTTATCCAAGGCTGGTCCGATGAGCTCGGCTTCTGCACTGATCACTTTGGGCAAGATCCCCGACAGTTCGCGGGATGGCGGAGCCTTCTGCAGGTACGTGTTTCCTCCCACGTGTACTGCAGGACTCCAGAGGCCTCCTCGCACGCCGGCAGCCGCTGATCCGCCGTCCCTGCACCTGCTGAATCGCTCGCACTGGGTCAGAAGCCCACGGCAAAGTGGACTGGAGCCGACCATCGCGTCACAGGGGTGAGTGAAGCTCTGGCACCTCTGCGCCGCAAGAGCAGCTGACATCGCTTTGGAGAAAGTCAGGGACAGCGCCGGGTGGCGCTTTCGCCCATCGCTTGCTTCCTGCACGCTGGCAAGCTTGCACGCTGCCCTGCCATTTTGTGGCTGGACATGCGCGCGCTACTGGAAATGCGGCACTGCACACGGCAGCGGGCCGACTGCAGCCCAGTTCCGCCGCTCCCGCCTCCTCGTTGTGCGCTGTCTGCTGCTTCGCCTGCGCCCATTGAAGTGCACCGTACTACCTGGTTTGCTTGTACCTGCAGGCTCGCCTGTATCGCACTGGCAGCCACAGTTTGCCAGCCACGCGTGGTGTCCCTTGGCGGCAGGCGCGGGGAGGGCGTCTGTAGCGCTGTCGGGCCTGATCGCCTGAAATAGAGCAGGATGGTTCGCTTCTATTGCGGTGAGTCAGGGGATGGAGCATCCCTTGAAGGGTGCTGAGGGGTTGCATCCTTGCGCTCGGCAGCAGATGTGACGGTGAAACCCCTGCCCCTCCGGTGAGCACCCCTCACTCGCTGCCCCCCCCACCCCCACCCCCACCACTGCCCCCGTGCCTGCAGACTACTGCGGTGAGTGTGGCGGCGCCACGCTGGGACCTACCACAGCATACAGCAGCAGGCAGCCACGCCAGGCGTGGGACCGGCAGGGCCCACGCCGCCGCATGCCAGCTGCCCGCACCCCACCTGCACACTAGTCAGACAGTCAGTTGCCAGCGCTGCAGCGCAGCCATGATGGTGCCGCACACCACACACCCCTCAGCCTCCGCCCTGCCACCTCCCCTGCCACAGACTCCTTCCTCACGCACGACTCCCCCGCCGTGCGCAAGCAGCACAACTCGGGCTACAAGCACAAGTCCAACGTCAAAGCCTACTACCTGCAGGCAAGCACCTACCAGACGCACACATGCGGCAGCGGCGGCGGCCGCAGTCGATGGGCAGTGGGGGTGGTGCTGGTGCTCAGCGTGCAGGCCAGTGCAGTTGGCCCGGGTGGGGTGGGCCAGCGGCAGATGGGTGGGGCGTGCTGGGGCGTCCTCCAGACGGGCGGGCCGAGATACTTGTTTGCCTGAACGTCTCCTGGCTGCCGCCGCCGCCCCCGCCCGCCGCAGTTTGAGGATGCCGGGGCGCAGGACGCGATTGAGCAGCAGATTGCGGAGTTCCAGCGGGGCCGCGGGGTGAGCGCACCGCACCGTACCGTACCGTGTTCCGCACTTTCGGCCTTTTGAAGCACGTGAAGCTACACCTCACAACACTGCCTCTGATCGCGTCCTGGGCTGCTGCCTGCCGGTCCCGCCGCGCGTGCCTCCACGGCGCCCTCGCAACCGGCTGCCGCCCATGGTGCCCACGCCGCGCTGCCTGCCCGCCTGCCTGCCTGCAGATGATGCCGCCGGGCCCGGGGTTCATGGGAGGGCCGCCGCCGTTCATGGGCGGCCCGCCGAGGCCGGGCTTCATGGGGGGACCGCCGCCGTACATGGGCGGCCCGCCCCGGCCCGGAATGGGCCCGCCGCACGGCATGATGCATCCGGGAGCCCCAGGTGTGTGCTGCGCTGCGGCGGCAGGCAGGCAGGCAGGCAGGCAGCGTGGGCAGCCAGCGGCACGGGCAGTCCTCCCAGCCGGCCCGCTGCCGCGCTGGGGGCTCGGCGGGCGTCGGCTCGCCTGCCTGCTCCACTGCTGCTTGAGCTGCCGCCAGCCGCGTGCGTGCTGCCCTGCCGGGCCGCCCTTTCAAGCCACCCATCACCTGAACACGCTTTGCCCTGTGCACTGCAGGCATGCCGCCCTACATGGGGCCGCCGCGCCCGGGCATGGGCCCGCCGCACGGCATGGGGCCGCCGCATGGCATGCCGCCGCAGCAGGGCATGCCGCCGCAGGGCGGGCCAGGTGGGCGGCCTGGGCAGCCTGGCTGCCACCCGTCCTTCCCGGCAGCTCGGGGCGGAGTTGCGGTTGGAGCAGCACTGACTTTTCCTGAAAGGGCATGCGCTGTGTCGGCAGTTGACTGGCGGCAAACTCTGTTGCTTTGTGCGCTCTCCCCGCAGGCATGGGTCCAGGAGGCCCCGGCATGATGCAGCAAGGTGGGCATTGGTGGGGAGCGTTGCCAGTCTGCAGTGGGAGGTAGCCGGCATGCCAGCTTGCCCTCAGCTCTGCCGCCGCTCCTGCACGGACGTCGCGAATGCAGCAGCCTTCCCCAGCTCCTGAAGCGGCGCTGCGTCTGGACATGCCCCATCTGCTTGCAGGCATGCCGCCGCCCCGGATGTGATGGAAGGCCCCGCCTCACCTCGAGGCTTGTGGGCCGGCCTGGTCGCGTTCACGGCACCCTGCGTTTCGCCACAGCGGATGCGGATGCCACCAGCCACCCGCCGGCAGTTGGACCCATTCTGAACCACTGGGCAGCATCCGCCTGCCGATGCCGCCTCCCTTTGCTCCTTGCTCCCCCCCTGCGCTGACCCTCCCTGCTCATCCTCCCAATGACTTACGCATCGCCGCGTTTATCATAACAGCTGTGTAATGCAGACATCCCCTCATCCGCAAACTCAATTGAACGGAGCGTTCTTACGGTTGTTTATGCTGCTCCGGTCTCTTTCCGCCTAGTTTTGATTTCCCCTATTTTTGATCTGTCGCTGCTGGCTGCTCCAGTACCGCACGGCATGCTCCCCCGGTCACTCGGCAATGCCGTCGGAGGAGGCTGCATTGCCCGTGTTACCCCACCAGCTGCCGCGGTACAGGTGGTACCCCGCCAGATGGACGGGCACCGTGCCCAGCCGCTGCATCCTGGCCATGCGCTTGTGGCACTGCAGGCGGGGATCAAACGATGCGCGGCAGCCGCACCAGCGGGGTCGGCGCTGCGCTGCTGGCCTCTGGATGCACTGCATTGCCAGCCTCTGGCGGTGCCGCCGCCACTGCAGGCTCTGCCTCTGCCCATCGCAACGGCCTAAGGCCTCCCAGCCGCAGCACCTCACCTGCTCGTCATACCAGAAGCAGGGCGTGAAGAAGGTGCCCAGCTCGTGGATGCGTATCAGGCTGTGCGGCTGCCCGCTGCCGGCTGCAGGTATGGGTGCCTCGTGCACTCCCCCGGACACCCGCCCATTAAACTCTTCCGCATCGCTGCCAAACAGGTACTCCTGCACGCAGGCAGGCGGGGCTGGGGGCCCTGGCGTGTTGCAGGTGCGCACTGCACCAACAGGCGTAGCCGGCTGCTGTCGCAGCAGGCCAGGAGAGAGCAGCCAATATCGTGATTTCTTCATGCAGCATGAAGCGAGTCCCAACCTTGAGGGCGTCCCGCAGCATGAAGGGGCCGGTCAGGTCCAGCACGTGCCCTGCCCGCTCCTGCCCCGTAAACCCGTGGTACCGCTTCTCCAGCTGCGGCGCGGCACCAACAAACGAGGGGCGGCAGCAGGGCAGGTGGCTGGGTTGGGAGGGCGGGCAGGCAGAGGTGCAGGCCAGGCCCGGTAGGCAGGCAGGCATGGCTTAGCTAGGGGCCAAGCAGCAGCTGGGCCATGGAGGGGGCAGGCGTGGCGGGGACCGGCAGGCGCCGCTCACCAGCTCCACAACGTGGGTCCACAGCGGGTGGCCGGGGGCGCTGGCCAGTACCGCGCTGGCCAGATACTCCGGGTCGGCGGTACCCTGCGCCGACGTGGGGCCGCAGGCGCACACGCAATGGGTGCGCCAGGCAGCTTGATCCGCCTGTGCAGGCACACTGCTGCGCCGCAGAATGGACACCGCCGCAGGCTGTCGTGGCCTCAGGCCGGCGCGGCAGGCCCTGCTGCTGCCACAGGCTTGCCACGCCAGACCCTGCCACAGCAGGCCCAAAACGTGCCCCGACATGGCCAACCCAACCCCTGCCCCGGGCTCGCCTGCATCACCACATCATAGCCTGCCAGCATGTCCTGTGCGGGACGGTAGCAGGCCACGTCAGCATCCATGTAGACGCCGCCAAAGCGGTGCATGATGAGGTAACGGATGGCGTCCGCCTTGTGCATGTCCCAGGGCAGGTCCTGCCACACCGGCAGGAAGGCGGGGTAGTGCTGCGGCAGGCGGCAGGAGGGGGCGCAGGGCAGGCAAAGAGCGGTGCACGGCTTGGAGACTCAAGAGGTGCAGACAGGTGATGGCTTTGTGACTGGCCAGCCCAGTAGGTGGGCGCACGCCACATGCGGCTCGGGGGCCCGAGTTGGGGCAGGGGCACTGGCGGGCGTATCGTCTCAGAGACTCGTGAGCACATGGCCAGCCGTACCATTTCCACCAGCTTCCGCGCGGCTTCATAGTCCCAGTACAGGTGCAGGAAGTCGGGGTAGGCCTTCTGGCAGGACAGTGCCCACTCGAGGTGGAAGGTGGCCTCGGGGCCGCTGGCCCGCTCCAGCAGGTGGTCAAAGGTGGGCAGGTGGACTGCAGGAGGGAGGGTACACAGAGCGCTGGGGTGCATAAGCCCAGCTGGAGAGGTGGGAGCAGGAAGCGCAGCAACGGGGAAGGACCACAGCAGAAGCTGAGCGCTGCCGAGCAGGAACGCACCGTGGTGCAAGAGCGGCGGGATACGCATGCCCTCCGCGTTGCCGCCGTCGCCCGGCCAGATGCAGCCAGGGCCGGCGGATTGGGCAACCAGCTCTAGCGCTCTCGTGCTGTTGAAAAACGCCTTGTAATCGAGCTGGTCTGTTGTGTATGCCGAGAAATTTGTGTGCTGGGGCGGGTAGCAGCTCTGGCGCTGCGCATGCGCTGCAGCTGTGTGCAGCCGCTCTGCCTCGAGCGATGCAGGCTTGTTGCGACAGAGCAGCAGCAGGGCAGCAGCAAGGGCCAGGCAAAAAACCAATTTGCGGTCCAACCCGCCCGCCCGCTGCCGCTTGCCCTTCATGCCTGCTGCTCTGTCCTGCGCGCTCTTTGCCAGCGCCATGGGTGGGCACACAAGCAGGAGCACAAAGGCAATGCCTTGCGCACAATCCATCCATCCATCCATCCATCCATGCTTTCTTTTTGTCCTTTCTTTCTCAAACGCTGCCTTCCCCTGCTTGCCAACCGCTCTTGAGCCCTGCGCTCCAATCCAGCCGACAAGCTGGTACCAACCTTGTTACACCGTCCTTGGACAGACCCACACTCATCACCCCAGCTGCCAAAACTTGAGCCGGCTGCTCAGGTCGGCCTTCGCCTCGCCGCCACTCCCGCTGTCCTCCCCGCTGCTGCCGCTGGTGGGTGCATGGCCCACCCTCCTGCCGCCCGACTTGAGGAAGGCGAGAACAGCGGCGGTGCTGACGTGGCGACACTGGCTGCCTTGCGGCCGCCGTCCTTCTGCCAGCCAGCCCAGCCTGCCGCCAACCAGCACCACACGGTTGGTGCGCCAGCGCAGCAGCCGCTGCGGATGCTGCCCGGCCGCCGCAGCAAACAGCTGGCGGCAGCTGCTGCTGCTGACGCCAGGCGCGCCGGTGCTACCTGCTACCGGCCCCGCTGCGGTCGGGCTTCTGGCCGCCCCGAGGATGCAGGCGCAGTGCGGCTGCCACAGAGCGTCGGCGCAGGCTGCGTCCCTCCACTCTCGGCTGACGCAGGCGGCTCGGGCCAGTGTGATTGGATCCAGATACCTGCAGTACAGTGCGTGCAGCAAGCAGGACTGTGTCGGCAGCTGCCGTGCCGCATGGCTCCTTGCCACAGCAGCAGCTAGTGGACAGCAAGGCAGAGGTGGCGCCCTTGGAAACCTGCGCTGTTGCTGTCGTCTGCAGGCATTCCACCACCGCCATCAACTGAGGCAGGGGCGGCGGAGCAGCGCACCGCAGAACATGAGCCATCACATCAAGTGGCAGGTGTTCAAAGGTGGCTGGCTGCTGCTCGTCGGGGCCGTCGCTCTCGTCGCCGCTCCCGGCCCCTGCACGGCAGCCCGGCCGGGCAGCAGATGCGTGGATGAACGCTCAGGACCCTGCAGTTTGAAGGGTTGGCAGAGACAGCACTGGCAGGCGGGTCCTCGCCAGGCACAGCCGCTGGCTCACCTCCCGCCGCCGCAGCGCTGCTGCCCTGCGGCCCGCGGCGCTCACGCCTGCGTAGCTGCATGCTGCTTCTCTTGTACCGCCGCGCCAGATCCTTGCGCTTGGCCTGTGGCAGGTGACGCTCCGCAGCCTCCATCAGCGAAGCCAGCGCTGCCCGGCTTTGCAGCCGCCTGCAGACACTGGCAGAGGGCGAGGTGGGCGGGGTCAGCGTGGCGGCGGCTGTGGTGGCGCCCGCTCCAGCCTGCCCACACTCACGCATCGCAGGTGTCTATCGCCAGCGCCACGTCCTGCAATATCAGCGCCTGCACCGGCTTGCTGCACCGCTCGGCATACAGGTGCCGCACTATGGCAGCCAGCTCGAGCGCCGCCACCGCAAAGTCGGCGGGGCGCCGCAGGCCCGCCGCCAGCTGCAGGGAGAGGTACAGGGCTTCGGCGACTGCCCTCTGCGCCCCATCAGAGTCGCTGCCGCTGTCTGAGGAGGCCTGCTGGTGCCTCCTTGTGCCCCGACGAGACATGGCAGCTGACGAGGGCGCTGGCTGCTGGCCCTGGGTGATCGCGGCGATGCGCCCGATCGCCTTCGTGGGAGCCCGGGCTCTTTTAGGCATCCGAAGTACAGGCTTCCAGCGACTGTACTGCTGGGGGACAGTTGGCGGGGCAGAACAGGCGCGTTTGGGGACGAAACCGGGCTGCCATGCGGTCTGGATGGGCTCTTTGGCCAGAGTGATGTCTCTGGGCACCCCTGCTAGACGACACACCCCCAACAAGCGCAACGGCACCACCCCCAGCCCTACGCCCATGCCTGCCGCCTCCGCACCGCCCCCTGCTGCGGGGCAGCCGCGTGGCGACGACGCTGCAGCCGACAGGCGCCGCCTGGTGGTGCTGGCGGCTGGGGTACTGACGGTGTGGGCGCTGCTGCTGGCGGCGGCCGTCTCGCCCCGCCCCCTCTTCCTGATCAGCCCCCCCATCAACAGGTCCGCTACTGTGGAGTCTCCTGGCTTTCAGGGGTGATTGGTGCCTACCAGGGCGGGGTTCGGCGGCCAGCATGCATGCCGCCTGGCCTGGACGTGGCGCATGCCGAGCCGCCCCCCTGCGCACCCAGCGCCACCAGCCTGGCCTGCCTGCAGGCGCGCCGCCAACTTCTTCCTGTTCAAGAGGGATGGCTGCGGCCAGGCGCTGGTGCAGGGCAGCTGGACAGATGACTGCCGGAGCGTCAGGTGCGGCCAGGGCTCCGTGCAGTGCGCAGGGGGCGCCTGGACCCCTTGCGGAGACAGTTTGGTTTGTGTGGCTGCCGCTCATGCGGTGTGCAAGCAGCGGCACACGGCCGGCATGCCATCCCTGAGCCTCCCGCCGTGTCCCTGACCTTGCCGCCTGCCTGCAGGTGCACCGACGCCACGCAGCTCGAGTTTGCGACGTGCGCCGACACGCCCAGGCGCCACTGGCGCTTCTCGCAGGAGGCGAAGGCCTGCGGCGCCCGGCGCCTGGCCCCCGCCGACGCTCGCCAGCGGCTGGCAGGCCAGCGGCTGGTGTTTGCCGGCGACTCAATCGCCAGAAACCTGTATGCGGCGCTGCTGCGGCTGCTGGGAGATCCAGGCAAGCTGGCGCCAGCTGGCGCCAGGCGCGCGGCCCGGGCCGGGGCCACGGGCGCTGCGCCCTGCGCCGCCCGCCAGCGCAGCGCACGCCCTGCATGCAACAGGCGGCGACGCGACCCCCGCTGCTGCCGGCACTGGTGCTGGGGAGCCGCGTCTGCTCCTACCGCGTGCCACGCCTCCTCTCCTGTCACCACAAGCCTGCATGCCCGCGGCTTGACCCCGCCTGCCTGCAGCCCAGGGCATTGTGGTGGGGCATGCCGACTTCCAGCACCAGCTGGAGGGAGGCATCGAGCTGGAGTTCTACTGGGCACCCTACCCCAGCAACCTCACAGGCGTGCTGCAGCGGCGGCTGGCGCCCGCGGCGGCGGCGCAGCGCGGGGCAGCAGCAGCGGGTGGAGCCGAGGCTGGGGAGGAGCGGCAGGCGGGCGAGGGGGCGGCAGCGGCAGGCGAGGCGGGGGCAGAGGCGCGGGCGGCGGCCGCGGCAGCTGCCGAGCAGCAGCAGCAGGACCGGCATCAGGAGGACTCCACACGGCGGCGGCGCGGGCTGCTCCAGGAGCCTTCCGCCGCTGCCGCCTCCCAGCTGGCCAAGGGGCGGCGCCAGCCCTCGGTGGTGCTGCTCAGCGCCACCCTCTGGCACCTGCTGCACGTCACCTCGCCTGCTGACTTCCAAACCGAGCTGGGCCTGCTGAATGCGGCGGCAGAGGGCTACCGGCGCGCTGCGGACGAGGTGGCGGCCGCCGCGGGCGGCGCGGCCGGCACGGCGCCCCGCCTGGTGCTGACCAGCTCCACCGAGACCTTCCCCAACCGCATGCGCACCCAGGACAAGCGGCAGAGCATGACGCCAGCCAACGTGGATGCTTACAATGCAGCTATAGAGAAGGTGGGGCGCTGCTTGGATGGATGGGCCTTGTGGGCTGTAAGGTGGGGTGGGTGGCGGGGCTTGGGGAGCGTAGGGATTCACTTGGAGTGGCGGCCGTCCGGCTGCTGCCGGCCCTTGCAGCGGTGCAGCCACGGGGGTCCACATGCGCGCCGCCTGCCTGATGTGTGTGCGCCACCGAAGCGCCTCCCGTGGCTGCCCGTACCTGCTGTGCAGGCGGGGGTGCTGGATCCTGCGGGCAGCTTCTCCCTGCTGGACCTGTTCCCGCTGACGCAGCAGTGCGGAGAGGAGTGCAGCACTGACGGGGTGCACTCCTCGCCAGAGGTGTATGACGCCGCCCTGCAAATGCTGCTCAACACAGTGGCAGCGGATGCAGTTGGCAGCGGCGCCGCGGCGCGGCCCGAGCGGCGGCGGCGGCGGCGCGCACTGCTGGAGCCGCCGCACGCGTGGCCGCGGCGGTAGCGGCCCCAGGCTGATGTGCGGGTGCGGCGCGTCTCCAAT